CAGTTAAACTAGGGAAAGAAAAGATACAATTAAACCTTATAATAAAAAATACGTCTCTCATTTGATCGTTTTTTCTCTCGATTTGTGATTATTTAGCAACCTAGAAAATTTGAGTTTTTATAGATATAACTTATAAATTATTTTAAACTGTCGTATATTTTGAGTGGTATTTTAAAAAGATTAACATATTTATTTAATTAACGTTTAGAAAATTATTATAAATTAGTTTAGTTCATATCTAAAATATATTTTAATTAAATTTGGTTTTATTGATTTGGTCATATATATTAAGTCTTATCTTATCCCTTTAACTTAGTTTTTTAAGAATTATTTTGAGATAGGTCTCCCACATGTCTCCTTTTTATTATTTTATAAATTTCACGGGTTATTCTCATTTAAAATACTTGCTAATTTTGTTATCCTTGATTACAATTGAAAAAAACCTATTATATCTTTGGAAACTTGTGCATCATACAGATAAGTACTTAAGAATAATGTTATCACATATTTCAAATCATTTTGTATTTGTGATTGTACAAGTTTCGAATAAGAGAAAAGATCCTTATTCGTGATTGAGGTCAAAGATGGACAACAATTTAGTACAAAAACTACCTAAAATACTAAACTACACCTAGATAAGAAAAAAAGTAGAAAAAGGTAATAGAATTATGTATTTGATGTGATAAGAAGAGAAATATATATAAAAATGTGAAGATGTCAATGAAGTGTTTGAAATGCTTAGTTATTTAAATATTATTATTTGTCAATGTTATAATTGAAGGGTACTTTTTTTTATCATTTTTTGGATAATTATGTTTATTTATTGATATGAAGTATTTATCAATTTTGTTAATAATTAATTTTCATGATAAAATCGGACCAATTATCTTTAGTATAATTTTTTTTAATCATTTCTTTTATACACAAACATGAATAAGAGGTCAAGTCCAATATTACTTAAATCAACAATTTTTTTAATTTTTTTAATCTTAATTTTCTAAAACCACAAAGGAAAGATAAAATTGAAAATACTATGATTTAGAACATAATTGTAAAAAA